GCATGTGGTGGAGGCAAGGTTGGTGGTGATTGTGGCAGTGCTGGTTGATGATAAAAAATAATAATAATGATAATGATAATAACGGGAAGGGTGGTGGAAGCCGATTAGATCGGCAATCACTGATGGGAGAAGCACAGGTCCATGGTTACAGTTATTTAAATTATTTTAGTCCTAGCTGTGTTTGTAGTATGTACACATGTAATAAAAAATAACGTTTGGGTTTTTCCATTCATTTTATTAGGATTTTCTATTTTTAGGATTAAGGGTTCCTTTGGATGGTTTAGTTTTCATTTTTAACTGTTGCTGGGATGGTGGAATTTGAAATCTAGAGATTGAGAAGTAAGGAAATTGGTGAAGAATATTTTGACAGGTGGAGATACCAATAAGTTTTATGGAAATATCACTGTTTGGTGGATGTCATAGTAGTTACTAGTAAGAATAACATGTTAGTGATAATGATGGATGGTGAATAAGTATAGAGCTATGGATGGCAACAGTTGTTCTAAATGGTGGGCATGTGATGGTGTTTGTGGCAACGCTGCTTGATAATCAAGAATAGTGGTAATGAAGGTAGCTGTTGATTAGGTTGGAAATGGCAGAGGTTTTAGAGCCTGATGGAAGAAGTGCCAGGTGATGATTTCAGCTATTATGGTCCTAGATGTTTCTGTAATACATTAATCTAGAATTAAGGAATCAGGATTATGTACAAGTATTTCTTAGTGTTTATGTCAAGCATAAACTATTTTTCATCATTTTCCAACTAAATCTTAAGATATTATATGGTTGGCATGTTGATCTAGCCCTTAATTTAATTTTTCAGAGTAGCCTCAATTTTATTATATTTGTAATCGTATGATAATTAATAAATCCAGCAACCATGATGATTTTCATGAGGTAGGAGCATCCTGAAAACCAGGGAAAGTGAAAAAAGGCACCCCTAAGATTCCAACAAATGACTAAAGATGAAATAATTGTAGCCAACAGAATATTCAGGAATTAGGACTGTAGCACAAAACGTAGCTAGAGAATCAGCCTCTCCCTTGGTTGCTTGGGTAATCCAGATTCACCTTATATCCATCTTGTATTTTGGAGCTTTTGCATTGTGAACTAAATATTTTAAATGCCGCAAGCTCTCAGCATTTGTCATGGCCAAAAACATCAGAATCACTCTCTATCTAAATTATGAAATAATACCATCAGAACCCATCCTTATAAATGATGGGCATTTGTGGTAGCTAGTGTCAGAAGGAACTGTATTTTTTCAACCATTCTCCATTTAGTGTGTGTTCCATATCTATTTATTGTGGATTTCCTATAGCAGCATTTAAAATGAACCATAATTTTTCACATTATAGATACCTGCTACATGAACTGGTAGCTCAAACAAACCATGAGGATTATCCTAGAAGGAATCCCTTTAAAGGAATGGTTGTTGCTGCCTTGAGAGTTTAGGGGCCTGCCATCCCATAGGACATTAAAAAGTTATAAGCTCCAAGTGTCCATTAACTTTTCTAACAAGCCAAATCATTCTTTGAGGAGCAAGTACTTTGTACCACCTTGCCTCCGGTTGACTGTTGAATTGCTTTACTTGGAGCTTATCTATGTTTTGAGAGGTTGACATGTATATAATTGTAATACCTGCATCTAGAGTCTAACCTCTTTAATGTTTTTTGCCTTCCAGGACTCATTATATGGTGCAGGATATATGGTTGCATTTGCTGGTCGCAAATATGCTGCAAGATCCCTTCCTGCTTTTGTTGCTAACAGTACATACACTGTAACGAGCTTTACCCTTGTAAGGGATTTATGAGAAGCCATTTCTTCGTGTCATGAAAATTACCTTAATGAATTTCTCTGCAAACTGATAAAATTGTCTGTGCAGGTGCTTGAGTTTAACAGGGGCAGGCTGCAAAACCTATATTGGAAAAGAGATGGCTGTGCTAAATGTGTGGGGGACTCTACCCTTGTATGTCTCAACAACCAAGACTGTGCAATCAAAACATCCAACTGCAAAAACCATGGTGGAAATGTAGATTGTAGCCTTGGGATACAATTAGCATTCTCTGGCACAGATAAACACCTTTCAGTTCTGAACTCGTGGTATGAAGTGGAGAACCTTCGACAGTACTCCCTGTATGGCCTTTATTCAAATCTTAAGGATTCCCTCACTAGCCAGTATAGCAATATCTTCTAATTGTCCTTCTCATGGTTGATTGATCTCTTGCTACTCGTATGTTGTAACTCTTCTTCACTTTCTGTCTTGTTGATTTGACATACACTTCTGTTTCCCTGTTCGCTCTGTCTGGATGCTTCTCCATGCAGTTAACTTGATAGTGTCAAAAGATTTGCACTGCGTAAATTATGTACAATAACATTATGGATAGAGAATTGTAGGGTCTCATCTGGTGCAGTAGATATTGATTCCATATGAAGCACTTTTAGTTTGTTTTATTCTTTATGTTAATAATTAGTTTCTAATGGTTTCATGATCTGTTAGAACCATGGATTTTCATAAACTCTCTTCCACCAGAAGTATATCAATAGACTGTTATTTGCTTATATCTGTTGATTATGATGGTCCTTTATTTGCCTGTTTCGTGGATAGACAAACAATATGTTTCTTAAAACTGCAATGGTTCATTGAAAATTATGCAAATAATAGGATCCCAATATAGCAATTCGCCAACAAGACCTTGATGATTGTAGATCATTCCTATGCCAAATTTGTCTCTAAGCATGTCATCGGCTTACAGTGTGCATACATCAAATGGCATTCTGGCCTTTGTTTAATCTTTCACAATGACAGCAGCTTGTGCTGTCTCTGTGCTCTGTAATTTTTAGTTTGTTTTCAGAGGTTACTTCTGTTAAACTGTATTGATGGTGATGAAAACATACCAGAAAGCATTCAGTACGGCCAGAGAATCAGATTCGGTTATAATATTCAAGTAACCTTTGTTCTGGCAGATCCGATTCCATCTATCCCACCCTCCCGTGTGAATATTGCCTTAAGAGTCCATTTCCATTAATCTTTTTTTATTTGAGAAATAGAGATTATTATTGAAAAAAAAAAAAGAAGAGATTATATCAAAATTTCTATAACATAGCACTATAGCCTAGGACAGATATGTAATCTACAACATTAGTTATAAATTTAAATTATACTTATAATGAATCTAGATAATTAAGTAAATAAGGCTATGGATGTGGAAAGAAAGCAATGTTGTAAAAAGCTTGCCTAGGTAGTGTTGTTCTACCTGCATCAGTTTTGGTTCTAGGCGATGTTATTTCGCCTATAGAAATTTAATGCGGTTTGCATCATCCAGATTAATTAAGTATATCCAAGCATTATTAGGCATACTTAATGGCACCTAGAGTGCTTAAACAAATGTTTTTTATTAATTTTTTATCATATATAAATAAGCTATTCGCTAGTAACTTGCAAACATAATAAAGGAACTTGAACTTGAAATTTGATTATTTATCGAGATTTGCATTGAGTTCAAGTTTGGCTTATTTTTTTAGCCTAATTCGAGTAGCTTAGAAGCTTACTGCCCTTCTAATGGTTGAAAATCATTTATTAGGAAAAAGCAAGTAGTAGGTAAAAGATGGTAAGTGGCAAGTAGTGAGACGTGAGCAATGGCTAGATGTTGATTGGAATAACCATTTAGTTATTCGATTATTGACTGTTATACATTCATGTTAAAATACTATTAAGAATATATTTTAAATAGTTTCTTTTTAATTTTTTAAAGGAAAATTTAACTTCGTTATTTTTATTTTTTTATCGTTAAAAGAATTATATGTTTAATAACAATTAGATGCAATTACAATTTAAATACCTTTTTGTTATCTTTTTTATAAATTAGAAAATATTTTCTTATTTTTCAATAAAGCAAAAAAATAAAGTTATCCGTTAATTACTTTACAATTATATGTATTTGTTATTTTTTGTTCTAGAAAATAAAGTTTAATTTTAATTTGTAATTTTATTAACAAAATTAAAAATGCACAATCCACTAACAATTTGAGGCAAAAGGTTACTTAAAGTAGCTTTTCCAATATCTAACATTTAACCAGACGTTAAATCGCTAATTACAAAAATCATTGTACCAAGTACCTAATATATAGTAGTTTGAAATTCAAATTTTTATTGAACACATCTCTTACGGTTTCCTCTTACTAGGACTAAACATTTATACCAAATATGCTGTAAACTTCGACTTTCTTTCAATAGTAGATTATAATAAATTAGTAGGTTATGACTTTTATTTCTTTTCGTTTTCCAACTTGATTAAATGTTATCCTAACTTGAAATCGAAACCTTTACGTCAATAGGAAAAGGATGCTAACTGATGCTACTAAGTACTAAAGCCTTAAAAGTAAAACTATTATTTAATAAATAAAAGGCAATCATGTACTATTCCCTTCCTAGTGATTAATTAATAATTGTTACTAAGAGAAAAGTTAGTTGTGAATGTTTGAAAATTATTTGAGGTTAAATTGGACTATACAAGTTTAAAATATGGAATTTTCACTATTTTGGTGAGGACTTAATGAAAGTTTGTTTAGCATAAATGCATTGTGTTTTGATGTTACAAGTAAATATGTTCCTTGTATCGATAATTGGTAAACTAGATATCTGATGGTCTACAATGTGAAGGAAAAAAGTTAATTAATATTTCCGAGTTAAGTGTTGGCATGGAATGTCCATTTTTGTTAATTAGCGGCATTGCTGTATTTATAAAAAGGTGTATATATTGAT